TCTATTTGGTTTGACTCCCTTTGGTGCTTTGTTTCTCTCACCGTTGATATAGAAATAACAATGTCGGGTTGGATAGAGATTTTGCTCTTTTTGGTCTTAGACAAAAACGCCCCCTAATGGAACTGCTCTTGGCAGATACACAGAGGAGGTAATCGATTTTTTTTGTTGTTAATAATTGATTTGGGTTTTTTGTTGGTTGTACAGATCTGGACATTACCGTCCTCTTCATCGATTTATTATCCCAGTACTTACATATTTAGTTTTTTGTTGATAGTTGATTTGTATGTTAAGTATGAAAACAATTATCCCTTTATTCATTAAAAAACTTTCAATATAAGTGGAATGGAGTCTTAGTATCTTTATCAATGGTAAATTTGAGGGGTTTTGTTTTCATTTTGAATATGTTGCAGTTGTAAAAATACCAAATGGAGTAGCAAATGCTGAAGAGAAGACAGGACATGCAAAAAGTTGTAGATCAAACAAAACATGGTGTGATAGGTTTTTGTGTTTCCATAATGTGATTGGGTTTCCTTTATGAATTAACCAACTTTTTAAACTACATCCTCATTTCCTTTTTAGTAATTGCAAGGAAATGGTTTGGTTTTATGTGCAACAAATAGGTAGCAAAAAGATAAATAAAAACTTTTTTTTTTTTTTTTTCTGTTTTTACTTGTGTGTTTGTTTAATTATGAAGACAATATTTTTTTTGGTTTTTGATAAAATTTAATTTAATATTTATTTTTCATTTACGGTGCACATAGTCAGTTGCAATGTGCCCTGTCAAATTTATTTCTTAATTTGTGATAATAAAAAAAGGTGTAGACCATTGTCTCCAAAAAAATTCAAGCTCATTATATTAATTTCGTTATATTTGCAAATAAGCAATTTTAGTTTTTTTAATTGCTTAAAATAAAACATATCTAAATAAAACATAATTAAAAAAGATTTAAAAACTGTCAATAATAAGTTATCAATTGTATACATATGATTTTAAGACCTTTTTTTTATAAATTATATTAAATTATTTCACTAAATAACTTATTTATTAAAAAAATAAATTAAAGTAAATAAAATGTTTAAACGTATAATCTTTTTAACAAAAAAGGATATAGACATGTTTTTATACAAAAAATATAAGGTATTTTTATCTTTAACCCCAATAAATATGTCACATTTAACGTAAAACATAATCATATTTTTACGTCTCTGCTTCCAAACTTTCTTAAACCTAAAATAACAACAAACCTTTTCATTTTAATAAATAGTAATATAAGATTCATTTGTAAACCATAACACCAATGTAATTATTTATGTTAACGTTTGTTACTTTTATTTTTAACCCAAAGTAACATATTATATTCTAAAACTAAAACTCTAGCATACTTATATTTATTAAGTGAACCCCTTCACTTCGGCATTAAACACTAAACTCTAAACTATAATTTACAATATATTGTGTCTTATTTTTAATATGATGTTTTTTATACAAAACTAACCGTTAAATTGTAATTAATCAGGTCTCCCGAAAAAAAAAAACTAATTTCCAAGATAAACAATTCGCCAACTTATAATTTGATTGCTATTAAAGGTATTATATAACATTGTAACATTGTGGATGAATCTAAACTGAATGGATTGAGTTTATGTTAATGAACATTGAATATATAACCATGTGGGTTGAGTATCAAAATTTTTAAGATTACATTGAATTGAGTTTTTAATACACATACACACAATATTTATTTGGTGTAGTAGTCAATTTGCACTATATATATATATATATATATATATATATATATATATATATATATATATATATATATATATATATATATATATATATATATATATTGTATTCTATCTATTGTGTGGATGTAGGGTTGATTGTGGACTAATCATTTTAATTATTTAGAGAAAATAATTAATAAATATTAGTGGATTAAAAATAATTGAAAGATATCATCTAATTTTATTTTAAAGATATTTTATTCAATTAACCTAAACTTAAAAAAGGAAAATCATTGATTTTAGGGAATTGTTAATTCTCTTTACTTTAAAAATGATATTTTTGTAGATAATAATAATATTAATTCGGTCATTCGAAAAGAAATTTGTTTATGATTACTTTAAAAATAGCATTATATTCTGACAGAATACTGTAAATATATATTATCAAGATTAATAATTTTTAATGAGTACATATTTTAAACGATTTTTAATATTTCAGAATCAATTATTACACTCATTCTTAAAGAATGCAACTACACACATAGATTCCATTCATTCTCAAAAAATACGATAAATAACGGTTAACAATTACATTTGTTCTTGAAGATTAAAATTAAGAATGGTTAAAAATAAAAATAAAAACATTGAAATCTAAGTAAAAACATTAATACATTGTGAAAGAATATTGTTAATCCATTCTCAAATCATATATTGTTACTTCTTATATGTTGATACTATGTATTCCACATCCATAGTAGAATTTGTTTCCAACATTTCGTTTTTGAGAAAAACACAATAAAATGTTAATAGTGAAAATAATATATAAATAATTTATGTATTAAAAAAACAACAACAACAACAACAACAACAACAACAATAATAATAATAATAATAATAATAATAATAATAATAATAATAATAAAAATAATACTAATAATAATAATAATAATAATACTAATAATAATAGTAATAGTAATAATAATACTAATAATAATAATACTAATAATAATAGTAATACTAATAGTAATAATAATAATAATAATAATAATAATAATAATAATAATAATAATAATAATAATAATAATAATAATAATAATAATAATAATAATAATAATAGTAATAATAATAATAGTAATAGTAATAATAATAATAATAGTAGTAATAATAATAATAATAATAATAATAATAACAACAACAATAATAATAATAATAATAATAATAATAATAATAATAATAATCAAGAGTTATTAATAAAGACAATATGTATACATTAAGTATTCAACACCCGAGGAATCATTTATTAACATAAAAAGCACATATGATTCCTTATCTATCAATTCATTTTTATTAAATTTCACCTTTAACTATTTTGCCATCAGCATGCGTATACAAATAAATATTTAAACTTGATGGCTTATTTACTACTAAATATTTAACGATATGGATGCAACATGAAGCATCCATGTTAAAAACTTAGTCTTGCTAAAAAACTAAATACCATCATAGCAACGTTGCAAATATTATAACTATAACTACGGAATTTGTCAATTAGATTTCACCTTTAACTATTTTGTAGCCAAATGATGTAATTCCGTAGCTAAACCTAAATAACTACGGAAGTTGCTACAGAATTTGTCAATTAGATTCCATAGTAAGATTTCTTGTAGCAAAATGTTTAACTACGAAATTATAGTTCCGTAGCAATTTTGCTATGGCTGTTGCTACGACGTCTATCCGTAGCATTTCAACTACAACACACTTCCATCACAATTCCGTAACAATGATTTCTGTAGCAAATTCCGTAGCCATTTGGTCCATAGCGAATTTTGTAGCTAATTGTTCCGTAGCAAATTCCGTAGTCGTTTGGTCCGTAGCAAATTCCATAGCCATTTGGTCCATAACAAATTTTGTAGCCATTTGGTTCATAGCAAGTTCCGTAGCAAATTTCATATCCATTTGGTCCATAGCAAGTTCCGTAGCAAATTTCATATCCATTTAGTCCATAGCAAGTTCCGTAGCTAATTGTTCCGTAGCAAATTTTGTAGTCATTCGTTCCGTAACAAATTCTGTAACCATTCATTCCATAGCAAATTTCGTAACAACTTTTTTTGTAGTCAATTCCATAACAATTGTTTCATACAATTTTTTCTATAAAATTCGGTTATTTAATTTGACTTATTATATCAATTTACAAAAATATAATTAATATAAAACCAAAAATAACAAAATATTTCTATAGAAACTAAAAGAAATATCTAATACATCAAAAGATCCATATTTCAACATCAAAAGTCGGTAAAAATTTAACGTAAAATACTATTCGATACATCATATTCTATCATTGATTAATAAAAGTTTTGACCTGTTCACTCAGTGTGTTAATGACATTTATTGCTTGTGCAAGTTGTTGTTCAAACTTTGCTTGAACATCCACATTTTTCTGCTGAAACTCTACATTCTTTTTCTGAGCATCTTCATATTTTTGAAGAATATCCTCATATTTTTGTTGAATATCCTCATATTGTCCGCTTTGCGTCTCAACTAACTTCTTCAAATTCTCAATCTCGACTTTTTCTCGACATTATTATCCTTGTATTGTTCGCAATGCATTTTAGAAGATCCTTTACTATCGAACAATCCAAGATAGATATATCTGCAAACCAAAAACGTGTGACAATCAATAACGTCACCCCTCTACAATATTTTTAGTTAATATAAGATAAGAGTTTTTTTATATACTTTTTCGAAAAAATAACAAATCTATAACTTTTTTCAAAATTTAAACAACAAAAAATTAATTCTATCAAATAATCATTAATTTCACAGATCCAACTCACTAAATGACAAAACTCACTTTTTCCCAACAAATTGGCCCATTCGAGCTTCCCAACGACCACATTTGTGTAGGGTAACACCTCTATACTTTGAGCTTCCTCTTGAGAATCCAGTGCTTTGACGACGAAGTAGATGCATAAACTCTTCCTTGGTCAAGTTTTTTATCTGTGTAACATAAGATATACATAAACTAACAGAATATTCATTGGGATTTTCAACTAATTATAAGAAACAATTTTTATATTATACATCAAATTTAGTTAAATTAACCTGATTCAAGTCATCCTCCTAATCACTTATATTGAAATTAATATCAGCATTAACACCACGAAATTTTATAGCAACCCGATCATATGCCCTGTAGAAAAATATCAGGTTTATAAAATTTGACATGATTAAATGATGAAACTAATGTCAGAAAACTGAAAAAGTGTAGAAGATCTTTACCTAGCAGTAGCATATGCAGTATCAAATCCACCTACAAAAATAATTAAGAATATATATATATATATATATATATATATATATATATATATATATATATATATATAATATATATATATATATATAGAATTTAGATAAATATAATTAAACATATTCATATACATATTGAAATAGAATGGGATTTCAATGCTACGTATAATTTCTTAAATACCGAGGTAAACTTGTTTCCCACAATCCCTGCAGAAATCATAGAAATAGAATGAGGTTTTGCCTATTTTCCCACGTCTTGTTCAGCTTCCATTGGACAGGTTTCAGACAGCACTGGCCAAGTTTCAATTTTTTGTGGTTCAACATTTAGTATAACTGAAGATGAAGTAGTATAATAATAGAATAGAAAATAGTTTTACCTAAAAATTTTGTTGTTGGTATGAGCAGGGTTCAGCTCATATGGGGCCCGCACAGACACCAGTAGAAGTATTGGTGGCAATCCATGACATTAGCCCTGAGAAGGTTGGTGTTCCACTAAAAAAGGCATGCTCTTCATATTTCATATGTTCGTTATATATCAGTTGTCAAAATCCATGAGCCATTTTTCAAACTTTTTGCAAATAATGGATGCTTGTTCAGCTTGTTTTGAGCAGAAACTATTTTCACACAACAAGCCCTAGCAAAAGCATTGAACCAAATGGTGTCCTAATAATTATCCCAAAATAAGAAGTAAAAAATCACAGGTATCCTCACAAATTACAGAGATGGACTCTAGTCAGGAACGGTAAATGCCATAAAAAATAGCTACAAGTCCAAGAGACATTGATTTGATGATTAAACATGGTAAAAGATCTCAGAAGACTATAATCAAACAAACTAATCACAAATCCCGAATAGACGTATGATATTCCAAGCAGAGGAACTATAATCAAGAGCAATGTCATCGCTAATTAGAAATTGGTTCATGTAAATGCCGATCAAAAATCATATTTTTTTTTCTTAGCAATCAGGCGTGAAACCACTAAATTGGCAAACAATTTGACTCAATCGATTGATTTTCTCAACTACCACATAAAAGTTAAGAGTTGTTCAATCAATCTGCATTGCAAGTAGATAATATCGATTGCAAAACAAATAAATTTACAACAGGAGAACGCTACTAACAGTTGATTTCTAGGGTTTTTGAATCAGTGATAAGTTAAAAGATACCGACGTTAAGCTCTGTAATTGTCAAATTAAAAACAACAATTGGATGACAAGTATGAGGTGCAGGTCTGTATGATCGTTGGTTAAATAATGTAAAGCAGTGAATGAAAAAGATCGTCATTCGTTCACAATGCATGATTCTTCTTACCATTTGAGCATATAAGAAACTTATGACTTATTTATGTTGAATAATCTAATGGAGAGATCAACATCCTTTGAGTGATTGGATGATAGAAAGAAAAAGTGGAGCAAAAAGAATGTTACCTGGTAGGGATGAAGACGATCGAGAAAAATCTACAGGTTGACGGAGCAGGAGGCGAACGACAAAGCAAATGAGAGTGCGAGGAGCTCTGATCGATAAACCGTTTGGGGAATGAGGAATGCGATCGACGATTGAAAAGTTTGATCCAGATACTGATTTGGGGAAGAAGACTTATTTGGGTCATGTGATCTGACCCATTTGCCCGACTGGTCAAAATTTTTTGGGTACTCCTATATACACAAAGGATTCGTATATAAAGGTCAAATGACAAGATAAAATTAATTCTACAAACAGTCATCGGTTTTAATGTCCAATCGATTAATTTATCCTTCAACTTGCAAAGATTTTTCAAAACCCACCCTTAATGTTTTATTTAAACTTTACTATTTTTTGTTATATGGTTAAGAAAGTTTTAACATTTTTTATTTGGTGCCGAGCACTTTAAAATTCTCAATTATTGAAAAGAGACAATGTTGAAAATAATAATAATTACCATGTGTTCACTTTATATATACAAAAAATAAGTTTAGTTAATAAAACAAATTAATAAACAAAACAGTAAAATAAAAACTATAAAGTGGAAAGTGGAAGGTAGATTTTGTTACTTTAATAGAAAATAAAGGGCATTAAATGAAAAATGATAAAGTATATTAAAAACGAAATATTTTTGAACGGGATATTTTTAAATCATGATACATTTGGGGTTGGAGGAATTTGTGTGGATTTAGTAATTTATCCTTAATAAAACATTGAAACAAATGGTTCAAGTTCATCAAAGGATTTTCATTCTATCTTCTTTTTACTAAAAAACCAAAATAAAATACATTATTATCTTTTTTTTTAGAAAAAATTGGTACAAGGCAGAGGGTAAATAAATTTTGATTTAAGGTTAATAATTTTCAAAAGCCTAAAAAATATGGGGATAATATTATTATATGAAAATTAACAAATATATATCATGGAAATCTAAAAATTATAGAATATTTATTATGTAGAAATTATATTATAATTAAAATTTCAAAACAATTAAAAATAAGATTTTATTTTCATTGTTGAGTTTTCAAAGATAATTGTGTATTTTTAATATATTTTTTTCAATAATCTTATATATTTTACTACGGAAACATATTTCGTAACTACTTGACTACGGAATTTTCCGTAGCCAAATACTTATGGATTTTGATTTCATAGCTATTTTGCAAATTCACCTTTTTGTAATAAGTTCCATAATAGATTAGCTACAAAATTTTATTTTGTAGCAAATTTTCCTAGCAAAATAGCTACGGATCCCAATTCCATAGCTAACTAGATACGTATTTTTATTTCGTAGCCAATTATGTAGCCAACTAGCTACATACATGGATTTTGTAACAAGTTTCATAGAGAACTAGCTACAACCAAAAAAATTGTAGAATTATTTGTAGTAAACTAGCTACGGATTTTAATTCTGTAGCAACTATTCAAGATTTAGCTACGAAATGCAATTCCGTAGCCATTTTCGTAGCAATTTAGTTACAACCAAGCATTTTGTAACATATTCCGTAGTAAAATAACTATAAATTTAGATTACGTAACAATTTTACGTAGCTACTTAAGATTTAGCTACATAATGCAATTTTGTAATCATTTATGTAGCAAAATAGCTACGGCAAGTCGTTTTGTAGCATATTCCGTAGTAAAATAACAACGGATTTTGATTCCATAGTAACTTTCGGTAGCTATTTATGATTTTTCTTGTAGTGCAGCAACACCCCCTTGGTTTAAGCAAAAGCATACACATGTTGGAAAATATCATCACCATTTATGTTTTAATAAACACAGTAGAAAAAGCAGGAGTAATGCACCCCTTTGTTTATTGAAAAAAAAAAAAAAAACTAATCAGAACCAACTCATCATTAAAGATAGCAGTAAAGCGCTAAACAAATTCATCAAAAAATGTCCGAGTCTATATCCATCCATCCAGAAACCAAAATGGAAATGCATTTTCAAAAACAACCAAAATAATTAAATAAATAGCCAAAATGGTAATGTAAATTTAGAGATTATCAAATGATAAAAATCAACAAAAAATGAAATTTTTCTGCTTACAGAAACAATACGTGTTGATCTTTTAACCTTTTTCTCTACAGAGTTCAACCTGAGATAAAGATTTGATGGATCTAAAGGAATTGAAGGAGAACCAACGAAAGGAGGACGGTTTTTTTTTTATTTTTTTTTATATGAAAGCAGCGACAAACCTGAAATATAACCTTAAGAATCACAAATTAGACCTTCTTTGCACAAGAAATGTAGAGCTAAAAGAAATATCATCGTAAAATATAAGAGGAAAACATCATCGTAAAATATAGGAGGAAAAGAGATAAGGGTCGAGAAAAAGAGGGGAGTTTGGTATTTCAGCTGTCAATCCATTAAATCACAACTTCAAATATGCGGCTGGGTCAAACAATTAAAGGGGCACGGTAGAGATAAGGGTTAATTGTTATTTTGGAAACCAAAAATATATTAATAAAACCAAACGATTAGCAAGTAACTAAAACATGGGCCAATATAGTGTCAAAATACATGAAAATTAACAAAAACAAAATGGAGAAATACTCCAATCAATCCACTTGCCACATTGTTTATGACCCCTATACTTACACCACGAGTATGAATGTGAAATTATATCATCCACAATCTTTGCTGGGGTTGTATTCATACATTTAACACCTTGGAATTTCTTGCTATCCAAATATAAAACACCATGAAATAAAAGATTAAGTTGACTATTTTCCTTTTTTTTTGGGACAGTTACCCTAAGAGGCAGCGAAGTCAATATAATCCTTCATGTTGGAGAATTGTCTGTCGGGAATCACACAGCATTTAAGTATCCATTTTCTTGTTTTGCTTCGCAACTTTGCAGTGAATAAAAAGGTGCTCCATAGTTTCTGATTCAGACTCACATAACAGACAAAGATTGGATTGGACATTTATACCCCTATCTTCAAGGTTTGATGCAACATGTATTCTACCTAATGTAGCTAACCATACAAAACACCTAACCTTCAGTGGAATTATTTTTGACCACTCAATGATCAATCCACTTTGTGAACTCGTTGTAGAGTCTAGTTGCCTCCTCAATGTATTAACACTATAAACACCATCGGGATTGAGATTAAAACGAAATCCACATATTACTGATTGGATCCTTATGTCATTAATAAGAGAGCACAATTCCGTGAATTCATGTAACACTGCATTCTCCCGAAGTGGTGTCTTCCATTTCCATCTGAATCTGGAGTTAGAGATTCGCTCTGTGACATAACAACTTTTCAAGGATTCAAGTTCATACAGTAAGCGGAATTTCACTTTGAAAGCTTCCGTACCACACCAACAATCAAGCGGATCTAAACATTTAATTCTAGGACAAGGGAGAACATGTTCCGTTCATTGACTATGAATTCATTGAAAGCCTTCGCAATGTTGCCCCAAATTATTTTAATTGATTTTTTCGCAATGCATGTAGCTGACTTTCTGATTAGATTGTTGATACTAACAATACAATTATTCCAAAAACATCAAATGTCAGTTCTTAAGTGCTACAACCATTTTGTTAGGAGAACTAAGTTATGTGCTTTTAGTGAACCATCACCAAGCCTACCATCTTGCTTAGACGAGATTTATTTTAACCAAGACACCTAGTGAATCTTTCTTTTTGTATCATCACTACCCCACATGAATCGCCTTCTGAGTTTTTTAAGAGCATCAATGACACCATTTGGTGCTCTAAACAACAAAAAGTAATATGTAGGCAAGCTATTAAGAACCGATTTTATAAGTGTGCATCGTCCACCAAATGATAGCGTTTTTGCTTTCCATAGTGATAGTCTAGCCTGAAACTTATCCAGTATTGGACGGTAATATCTTTTAAGGGACATGTGGGCCCTAACTAGAACACCTAAATAGATAAACGGAAAGGACCCTTTAACACATCCAAGGAATCTTACTTGATCTTGTATCTCTGCATCTGTCACCCTAATGCCATATAACTTTGACATGTGCAAATTTGTTGGATTATGTGTATAAGCCCATAACTATAATTGATATGTACTTGACCCAATATAGCATGGTCCATTTGAGTTGTAACACTCTGAAACAATTTGATAGGATGGATATTTGAGAAAGAGGTTATTTGTGATTTATTAATATATTATAAGTATAATATATTAATTGAGAGAACATATTATTTAATTAATATTGATCAAGAATTAATTTGGAACAAATTTAGTGATCAAAAGAGACTAATTAAATTAATGAGGACTGATTATGTAAATCAGTGATACATATGGTTTGGGCTATTGATCCATGATGGACTAAGCTTATGTGAAAGTCCATGAAATATTAGTCCATATGAATTATGGATCATAAGCCTAAGTGTAAGAATTAGGGTTTGCTTATGACTCTTGGAATTCTATATATATATATATATATATATATATATATATATATATATATATTCCTCTAAAGCAAAAAATCGTGCACTAGTGATTCCAAGAAGCTCTAGACGATTTTATGTCTCGTTACTTCTCTCCTATATTCCTCCTCTTATTCTTGGTTTGTTATAAGACATTTGAGGCATCACACTTGAGGTGTTAGGCTCTTGAAAGACCAATTCCTACAAGCTACAGAAAGAGGTAATCTTCTAACTTACTTTTATGATTCATATGTCAAGTTGTATACTAGTTGTAGGTTTCAAGCTTTGGAAATTTTGTTGCATGTATAACTAGAGAAAACTTAGATCCAAAGCTATTAGGGTTGTACGTGCACCATAGGAGTGTTATAGTACTCAAAACTTATCAGTGGTATCAAAGCTAGGTAGGGTAGTTTTCTGTTATATAGATGCATAGCTATTTGTTCAAAGTTGGAAAAGTCGAAAAACTGAACTCTGAAAGGAGGACTCGACGAGTCCATACATGAACACGTCGATTCCATGCTCATAAGTGAAGAACTCGTCGAGTCCATTATCCGACTCGACGAGTTGGATCATCTGTTAGCAATTTTTCAGGTTTTTTGGACTCAATTTGATTATATTCATTACCATAAATTGTTTTGTACATGGTTCTAAAAAGGGTGCCATGGCGTGCCTCAAGGCGTGCAATGACGCGAGGCGTGGTGTAGCCGTTATGAAAACGTTCAAGGCGGGTTTCTGAAGCGTGGCGCCCAAATAACGTGTCAAGGCACGCCTTATCATGTTATGGCGCGAGTTTTTTTAAAGGCGCTGGTTTTTTTTGTTTTTT